CTCGTCTTTCACACCAGCATTTTCCCTAATGAAACCCATGCGTGTTTAACTCTATCTTGGAGTCAGTTTCCCCGAGGGCCAGACCAACAACAGGTTGTAAGAACCGAGTGCAGGGGCTGGCTTACAGCGTCACTGATGTTCTCCGACGGACGGAGAAGCTGGGCCTTCACAGTGCCTGACCTAGTCTAATGCAATGAATTTTCACTGCCTGTTTTTTCTTTCCCTTCTTACACGAGTGATACATTTTCACTTAAAACATGGTAAGAATTAAGAGACGTAATCCATACATACATTTTAGAAAGAGACTCCAATAATCTTTACCCTCCCCCAATCCCAAGCATGATGTATTGAAAAACTGCTATTTTACACTTTTGACATTAGTGACTTCTGGCGCATGGCGCTGTGAAGGCACATGCCGGAGGCTTCCCTAGGAATCTCTGACACCCAGAGAAGCACTCACTAAACAATCGCTGAAGCTCAGAGCAGCCGCTGCGCTCACTCTGAAAACCTCCCCATAGCTGTCCTCCCAGTCATCCTGGGATCAGATTTTGGAGCTAAAGCTTTACTACTAGATAAAACTGCACTATCAAACTGAAGCGAATTTGCCTGGGAAAATGAGTGCAGACATGGCCTGAAATGGTAAAATGAGGCAACTCTCAATAAATCCCAACGTGAAAACCAGACAAGATGGACTTCTTGCTGTTGTGTTTTATTCTTTTATTTTGGGGGAGGAGGTAATTAGATTTTTAATTAATTTTTTTAGTGGAGGTGCTGAGGATTGAACCCAGGACCTTGCGGGTGCTAGGCAGGCACTCTACGCCTAGGCTATGCCCTTCCCCCTTAAAGTGTTTATATTTTGATTAGCAGAGACATAAACACAGCATTTTCAGTAACTCTATCTTCATAAGCCAGGAAAAACAACGTCCACTTAAAGACGCTGTAAAATCCTCTCTTCTTTGGCTATTTTGAAAAACTTAGCAAAGTTTCAAATATGTTAAAAATCCTGATCTAGCTGCTAAAATTAATCCTAAAAAAGATAACGTGCAGAACAAAGTAAACCTCTCCTCCCAGTCCAAAGTTTCAAGTAAATTATATTGGGAAATCTTACTTCAGAGCAGCAAGTGGACGGCGTCCTCCAGGTCACTGCGCGAGCAACAAACTTAAGACCTTTGTGCAGAGCAAGTCAGGCGCTTAAAAATGCACGCTGGGATTTGTAGTTCAGGTTCCTCCAGTTTTTGGAAAAGGATTAGCACATGCACATACTTTATACGTGTACGTGCTGCCATCTAGTGGAGACCAAGTAGAACTGTTAACTCCAAGTACGTAGAGGGTGAGACGTGGCAAATACTTAGAACCTGGAAACCCTTTCCTTCACTAGTTTAACCTAAGTCGTTCTCTTTTATTTGCACCTACTATATGCTGCTCTGGGGGAATTTAAGATTGAATGAGCCAGAAATTACATGTGGCAGTTAGCAAAGCAATAAAATAGAAGGAATCCAGGTCACCGAAGATACTGGAGCCTTCCTTCCTGGTCCTTGACCTAGTTGTTTTCAGGGAGGAAAATAAAAATTGTCTTGTGTTTTTAAAGTACGGTTTTGGTTCTTTTGTCACGCACAGTCCATCCTAACATTAATACATCTACCTGAACTCCACTAGATGGCATACATTTTAGTGGCAGAATGCAGGTATCATGAGTACACCGAGGGGGCCGAGCCTGGGGAACTTCAAGATACCTGTTGGGTAAGAACAAAAAATCAAGTTTGGCTGAAGAGAACAGAGATCTCAGATCTAAAAGGATGGACTAGATCATTTGAGCCCGCCCTTCAGGCTTAGTAACTCATACTTTATCAGGGGTGTAACTGATCCTAGTAACTGTGTAGGCTATGTTGTGCTTGTGACATTTAAGGACACTCACTCAACACCCATCCAACTCACTTCCCTGCCTTTTATCTTATGAAGTTTGGAATACAACACTCAAATTCCTAGCCTCCTTTGCTGCTAGAGCTGGCCAATGAAACGCAGGCTGGAATATTTGAGGAGGGCTTCCTTCTTGGATAGAAAGTTGAAAGGCTTTGGATTTTTTCCCCCCTAGGGTTTTATTAAAAAAATTTTCTGGGGTTAAATATTCTTGCTTGCTTATTTACTTGTTTGTTTGTTTGTTTGTTTATTTATAATGAAGTATAGTTGCTTTATAATGTTTCTGTGTACAGCATGGTAATTCAGTTATACACATATATTCTTTTTCAATATGAGCTATTATGAGTTATTGAATATAGTTTTCTGTGCTATACAGTAGGACTTTGTCATTTATCTATTTTGCATATGGTAGTTTGTGTCTGCTAATCCTACACTCACAATTTATCCCTCCACCACCTTTTCCTTTGGTAACCATAAATTTGTTTTCCATTTCTGTAAGTTTCTTTCCATTTTGTAATTAAGTTCACTTGTGTCATTTTTTTAGATTCCACGTAAATGATATTATGTATTTGTCCTTCTCTGTCTGACTTCACTTAGTATGGTAATGTCTAGGTCCATTCATGTTGCTGGAAATGACATTATTTCATTCTTTCTTATGGCTGAGTAGTATTCCATTGTATATATACACCACGACTTCTTTATTCAGTCATCTGTTGATGGACGTTGAGGTTGCTTCCATGTCTTGGCTATTGTAAATAGTGCTGCTATGAACATCAGGTGCATGCATGAAAGACTTTTGACTTTTGCTCCTTTCCTTCTTTCCTCCTGGAATGCAGATATGCCTTGGGACATGGCAACCATGTTGTGACTTGGTGTAAGTCAGAGGCACACATTAAAGATAGCAGGGTGAGAAAAGGGACCTGGTTCCTTGAAGACAACCTCAAGACAATAGCCCTAGACTAAATCCTCTGGACTTCTTATGTGAGAAATATAAACTTCTCTAGATCACTTTGTGTTCTTGGGGCTAAATGTATTTATAATAGTCACAGTGGCTCAGAACAGACTGTGGAGTCAGAGGGATGAAGGTAAGTTTCACATCTTTCCGTCACTAGCCAAGTAAGTCACTAAACTCTAAAAACTTGAATTTTTTTCATCTATAAAATAATCATAGCATCTACCTCAGAGATGTTGTGAGGAAGGACTTGGCATGTAAAACCATCAGTACAATGTTACATTTGTACTAAATAAATTTTAGTGATGACTACAAATTCAAGTATGATAAATAGCAAATATTGCCCTTAAAAAAACCCCACCCTGACCTAATTGCTACACGTGACTTTGGTAACGGACCCTCATTACCCTGCTGTAGCTTCTAATGTTGGGGCTAATGACCTGTAACAGCATCCAGCCGTGCTCCTTGCTGTACTAACAATCCCTGTCCTTTGACTTTTGAGGATTTCGGAATAGCCATTCGGTGAACAGAGTTCTCTAGTCAAGGCCAACTCCGATACTTCTCCTTCAGCCTCCCTTCATCCACTGAGCTCCAGCAGTGGTGCTTACTTGCCCTATGGCAGCCTAAGTCACATGGTCATGCAGGAATTTGCTCAGCCAACTGTGTTGTCAACGGACTGAATTTCTTCAAGGCTAGGGACTGTGCCTTTTTCACCCTTACATTGTGATCAGCTCATGTTAAAAGTATATGAGTAATTCGTTTTCCAAATACAGTATGAGTTCCACAAAGGCAGTGCCTTTTGGGGCCGAGACCAACACTAAGCACACAGTAGGCATTTAATATTTGCTGAGTATGAACAGTGAGCTCTCAGCAAGTTTCCTGAATATAATCTGCCAGGCTCAGGAACATGTTTCCCAAGAACAATAAATATATTTTGTCTTCTCTGGCTCTGATTTTACCTTTCAGACCATTTTAGTATCATCTGACCACATTACTGCTTTTTAACATTCTGATAAGTTTCCATTGCTGATTTCCATCATTCCTTCACAATCACTCATCACAATATTGAAACTGAGATCATTAGAGTTAAGCAACATCCCAGGTGGGCAGTCAACAAGATGGAGAAATACAAGTGCCAGCTCTCTTTCCCCGACAGACATCGACTTAACAACAACATATGGACCAGAATCGTTTGCTGAGAACTTCAGAAGCCAGTTAAGGAGTTGCAGTACCCTACGTGCGCGCAAAGCTGAGAAGAGCCATGCTGAAGTGGGTGTCACTCTGAAGTCGTTTCACTCTGCGGCTACCCCTCCCCCAGGTCAGCAGAGCTTAGCCCTGGCTCATAGTTTCCCCATCATGGGGAACAGGAGAAAAGAGAAGAGTGGAAAATTCACCCAAACGTCCAGCTTTTCGAGGGCTGCCTGAGGGACTGTTTCCCCTCGCCTGACTTGGAGTGCTGATGGCACTGGCATGGCTTGGCACCAGAGGGCCTACTGAGCCCCCAGCAGAGGCTGGTGTGGCTCTGTAGTCAGAAGGTGCCCAACTTGAAGCTTTATTCTTGGGAGGGAGAAAGAAGAGTAGGGTGTGTGTCTGGTGTTCCAGCTTTCTGGACGGCTGCACAAGTGACTGGTTTGTGTCTTGCCTAACTTCGGGTGCTGACTACTTTGGATGCCTGGGGGGCCAATGAGAAAAAAGGACAGTGGGGTGGCTTCCTGCTGCAGCACCAAAGCAGCTGCAGTACTGCAGACAGACACCAGAGGGAGAAAGAGATTGAGCTCCTGAAAAAGAAACTGGCAACCTCTAGTTGGCAGATCACACACACAAGCCCACAGCAGCAGCGTCCCCCAAAAAAGGTTTCAGAGGCGCCAAGAATCTATAAGTGAGCTGACTGATAAGGGTGTTCCCCTGTATGAAGCGAGACGTGGCTGTCTTTTCAAATGCATAAAACTCAGCAGGTCAGAAGGCACACAAAGCAGCAGAGAAACATGGCCTATTCAAAGGAACAAAATGAATCTCCAGAAACCAACTCCAAAAAAAGGCGATTTAAGAATTATCTACCAAATAATTCAAAGTAATAGTTTTAAAGAAGCTCAATGATCTATAAGAGAATGCAGACTTAAGAAATCAGGAAAATGACGCATGAACAAAATGAGACTATTAACAAATAAGCAGAAACTATAAAAAAGAACCAAATTCTGGTGCTAAAGACTACAATTGAATTGAAAAATTCACTAGAGGAGTTCAATAGCATACTTGATCAGCAGAGGAATCAACAAAGTAGAAGACAGCTCATTTGTATCCAGTCAGAGAAGCAAAAAGAAAAAAAAAAAGAAAAATGAAGACAGCTTAAGGTCTTTTAGCAAGCAGACCAATATAATAAGCATTTACTTCCAGAAGAAGAGATATGGGGACAAAAAGTTGATTTGAAGAAATAATGGCCAAAATCTTCCCAAATCCAAGGAAATGGACATCCAAATTTAAGAGTTAAGCAACATTCCACTAGACTGGAAACCTGATGACTGATTACATTTTTAATGGCCTTTAAAGTAGTTTTATTATTCAGGTGAACTTACCTACCCCTTTGGGGGAGAAGCAGACATTGTAAAGAATCGAACCTGCGGTGCTGTTCTAGTGTCTTGTTTGGGTGAGGGTAGGAAGGAAAACCAGGCCCGGGGGAGGATCTGGGAGGGGACACTTTCTCCTTAGACCTAGTGAATTTTTGTGACAGTGTGTAAAGTGTCCAATCCAGAGACTTTAGAATGGTTGCTATGATACAATTCATAACCGCTCTCTTTGAATACATCTTCTTACCCAAGAGCCAGGGATGCCTTCAAATCACTAACTCTGTTCTGAACCTTATGCATCTTGCTGTTTTATGTGGTTTTTCAAAGTCATATGATATAAAATATCAGATACTCTCTACAACTCTAGTTCATAACCTCTTATAGGGTCAGAGACTCCTCTGGGATATAAAAGAAAGTATCCTAGAAAAATGAATCCACACGCAAAAGTTAACATTAAATTTCAGAGGTTTTACAGGCTCCATGAAGTCCCCCTCAGATGCCTTACGTATCTGTGGGGACCCAGGTTTAGGAAATTTTACTTTGACAGAAGCTCTGGTGCTGTTTCCCCTGGTCTAAAGTGAAAGGGTAGAATAAATGACCTGTGTGGCTCGTCCTGCTGGGAATGAAGTGCTATCGAGCACAAAGTCTAATAACAAACCTACCAATTCAGAGTGCTTGCCTAGGGAGTAGGTGGGTGCTAACTGAAACGCGAGAAACAACTTTTACAGCTATTACAGCAAAAGGAAGATTAGGTCTAGAAAATGAAGGGGTCATATCACTTGCGATCCCTTAACAACCTAAATTCAGAACGCATATGCATATTTTTATAGCAAAATTCTGTAAGTTAACAAACAAGATGAGAGGAAAGCCAAATATACCAAGTACCCACCAAGAAACCATGAGTTAATATTACAGGGTGCTGTGATTCAGAACAACTAACCAGATATTTATTAAATGTTCAAGGTACTAAAAAAAGAGCCTGCAATTTTGTTATTTAAGTGATGCTTTATATTAATTTACAAATTATGCATTGGAATTCTGTAAGTCATATGTGGATAACTTTACATTAATAAAAATTTATCTTTATGTATACATGGAAAGATTGGAAATTTCCTCCAATAACTTTATTCTTTACAAAACATATAAATAAATAAAACTATTTAACTTCTAAAGAATTACCACATTCAAGAAGAAGGTATTGCTATCACCATCCTAAATTACGAGAAAGCATCCCATTCCTTCATCTTCCAATTCCAGTGGCAAAGTGAAAACTGAACTAAAATTAAGTTGGACCATGACATCATTACTGGGGACAGACACATAAAGTAATAAACACAGGCATTTCCAAACATGGAACGCTGGGCCCCCAGGAAAGTGACAGAGAGGTGTCTACTGAGTCTTGCACTCGGGCACATCTTTTCCTGAGGAGGCGTGCCAAGGACCTGGCTGCGGATCCGCGGTCTCTGCTCCAGCAGTTTGTTCTTCTGAGGGAAAAAAAAAAAACCCCAAAATATAAATAATCTTAGTAAAAAAAAATATACAAAACCCAAATAAAACTGAAGTGGAAAGGATGCTGAGGAAAGCAGAGATAAATGAAGAATGAAACATGGCACTTTAACATGGTTGTTAATGTCCTCACTAAAAAGGTAGATTTCACTTCATCAGAGTTAGAGAAGTTTCTTCCCCATTTTCTCATAAAATACAGCAAAAGTTCCCCAAGGAAATGCTAGCTAATGAAAGGTCCGTAAATGTTTGTTAAATACTAGTCAATGAAGTGAAGTGCTGTAAACACACACACACACACACACCCATTTTAGAAGAGTCTTTGGAAAAACTGTTAAGGTTTTATAATCACCTTTTGATTTTATCTGACAGTGCCAAAGGCACATGCATAATATGAATTAATCCAACCTCAGATATAAATGCCTAAGTGTTTTAAACATGGATCTCTCTGATACTATCTTTAAGTGAAATAAATAAGAGTAGGCTGGAGGGAAAGCTAAATCAGAAACTGACGAATTCAGAATTAAAGTTTCCTTTGAGCCTTTAAAAAGCACTTCAACTGAATCTATTTGTTTATGAACAATATCTAAAGTAAGTCTAGCATAACTGGTCTTGGCTATTCTCTTAAGCTTTGAGATGATACAAATTTCCTTTTATAATTAAAATTGAAACTGATATTAAATTTATTTAGACTGATATTGTACTAATTCAAGCTGGGACTATGTCTTTAAATGAATGAAGTGAATAGTTCAAGATTTTTTTCCAAATTGCTCTGCTCCTTACTACCTGTCAGACTGCTGACTTGATTCAATTCTGATGTGTAGTTGATGAGAATGGATTGATGCCTTTGGCGTCACAAAGTAAAGCTCTCACAAGCCCTGGCAACCTGTGCTCAGAGCTTTACATGATCGGCAGCTGCCTCTCTTGGTGTCCAAGTCTGCTGCTTCAGATTTCTAGAAAAGCACAGGAGGGTACTTCTCACAGGTAGACATCCTGTCAGAGGGCTGTGGCCATGCACAACTGGGCATGTGGGAAATGCTACGTGGTGAGAAAGACAGACACATACCACGTGACAGAGCTGCTCCTGCCCCACCCCCCACTTCTGTGTACAGCAGCCCCAGAGCTGGGGGTGATCCTTGACACCACCCCACTCCATCCAGTTAGGCACCTGGCACAGCTGATTCTACCCCGCAATCTCTCCTGTCTGTCCACATCTCTCCATCTATTGCACCTGCCCCAGTTGGTGCTGTCACTCTTGCTCAGGCAACTGCCGAGATCTTGCTCCTATGATTTGTTGGTTACCTTATAGCTGAGGTAATGCTTTCAAAATTTATAACTCATCACGTTCCCTTGCATTTAAAATCTTTCAAAGGCTTCCTCTATATGCTTTCCAGGTCAAGTTTAAATTCCTTTATACCACCTACAAAGCCCCACGCACCCGGCTCTCCCCTTCTCTGGACTCACTGACCGCTTCCACAGCAGCCTGTGTGCACTGTGCCTTGGCCATGCCGGACTGCTGTCAGCCCTTCCCTGATTGTGCTTCCTCCCACCCTGGCTGGGGCTGTCACTGCTCCATCTGCCTGAATGCCTTTTCCTCCCCTCTTTGTTAGGCTAACTCCCATTAGCCTCTAAGCCCTCAGTTCCCTTCTTCAGGAACACTTCCGTAATATTCCTAAAACAGAAAACTATTAAGCCTCATAGCCTTTTGCACTCTAGAATTTTTCTTGTTTTCCTAACTACTTGATTACTGTCTACACCTATTAGACTATACGCTGTAGGAGGGCAGGGACCATATCTGGTTTTGCTTACTGATGTATCCTTAGGGTATAATATGTGACACAGAGCTGAAATAAAAACAAATTCTGTTGATTGAATGAATAAGTAAATGATACAAGTCTATGATCTGGCTTGTGTAAATTGAACATAATCCTATTGGAAATACCAGCCCATTAAATTGATAAGAAAGTATTTTTCTGGAAAAGTATTTTTGTTTATAGGGTAGTGTCTTTATGTCCTTGGGAGAGTTGATTGTCCATGCTTGGAAAAGCTGAGGATCTAAGAGGCAGAATAAAGACTTCACTTGGGGTGGTTTTCTTGTATAAAGAAACAATGTCTTATTTTCACATTTGATTTGCTAAGTAATAACTCACAAAATTTTTACATACCAAAAAACCCCAAAAAACTTCACTTAGGGTAAAAAGTGATTGCACTCAGACCTGTGCTTTGGAGAAACTTCTCACACAGAAGCAGCAGTGAAGTCTGCGCACTGCGAGCTTTATCCACATCGTCCCTTTCGTCTACACATGCCCTGTGGGCCACATGATACAGGGTTCCAACTGTTCTCCCCCCACTGCCAAGTAACCAGCACATTTACCTACCTGCGCAAAGGCCTAAACTTGAGTTATCAAAATAGCGGACTGGAGGAGGCACCAGCAAAGACTTTGATCGCCTATCAAAAATCCAAGACTTTGGTGATTCCTTTGGCACAGGGTCTTGGATGTTCCGCTCCTTGCACTGAGAAGGCAGGTGGTATCTCTTTTTAGAGGCTGTTCCAGTCACTTTAGGAGACTTTGGAGAATTCTCACAAGTGACTTCTTTGTGAGCCTCTCTTTTAAGGGTTCTTTCCTTCCATGTTTTGACCTCATTGGAAAGATCATGATTATTGCTTAAATGTAGAGGGGGAAAAAAAAAGGAGACCATAAGACTGCAATTCCTGCAATGTGTTCACATTTAAATTAAAAAAATTGTATAAAAATCGTGGTAAAATGTACATAACATATAATTTACCATTCTATCATCGTTATATTTTAACGTCAACCTAATGGCTCCTGTTTGGACATTTCCACAGTTCAGAAAATGAAATGAGGTCACTATAAATTGGGTAATTGTAGTATATCTCCATAATCATAGAGTTTTGAAAAGAAAGCAGACCATGACATTAGGTTTTGGTTTTTTTTTTCAAATTTTCTTTCTTTCTTTCTTTTATTTGTTTGGGGGGAGGTAATTAGGTTTATTTTTTTAATGGAGGCACTGGGGGTTGAACCCAGGACCTTGTGTATGCTAAGCATGTGCTCTACCACTTGAGCTATACCTCCCCCCTGATATTAGGTTTTTAAATGAATTAATTTTACCATCTAGGGGTTTATCTATTGATAATTTGTGGGCATAATTTGATAAATTAGTCTTCTGGATAGATGGATCTAATGTAATGTACTTTTGTTATTTTAAGAGAAATGATTCATGGTGCTTTTCTGGATTTCATAGTCTTGCTTCTTACAGGAAATGCCAGCAGCATTTATCTAGGTTCTCCAGAAAGAAACCAGGGCAGCAATGCTAGTGGCCCTTCTCTGCTTTATTTTCTTTCAGCCACGTCTGTTGATACATATAAAATTCACCTTATTTTTATTCCCATTTGCACCATTGTAGTCCATGCCATAATTATCTTTTGCTTTCACAACAACAGATCCCTAAATTGTGGCCTCCTGTACTGAGATACTACCTGATCTCATCAGGCCTTGGCTGAAATTCTGCCAGTGGTGACAATCCTTCATTATGTTTAAGATACCAAAGGTCCTCAGAACGACCTATAAAGGCCTGTGTAACCTGGACCACTTACCTCTGGCAACTCACCTTGCACCTCACTCTGTCCTATTTTCTATGCCCTGGCCACACTGCATGTCTTTCAGTTCCACCTACTGGCTACTCTTCCTGACTCAGAGCCTGTGCACATGCTGTTCCCTCAGCCTGGAAGGCTCACCCACCTCTCCTTTCATCTGGCCTCATTTCTGCTCGTCTTTCACGTCTATTCTTACAGATTGGTCTGACCACCACCCCTCCCCACACCTGCACAAGGTCTGATCCCTTTCATAATGTCCTTTTTGTTGCTCTTTGCTTACAGCACTCATCACAAAGAGTTAGTTATTTGTGCAATTATTTGTTTAATGCCTATTTTTCTTCTTTTGTATCACTAACAGAGGTTAGCACAAGATTCTAATCTTTGGTAGAAGCCAAATAATTAAATTTGTTAGAACTGTTTATAAAGTAAAACTAAGTAAGGGGTTCTTCCTTGAATAAAAGCCCCACTGACTTGGGCCTTCGAACTTGTGGTATATTTAAGCTGCCCCTCAAAGATCCTTTTTTTAACTTCCTGGCTCTTGGCTTAGTTAAAAACAAGTCAGTTGACAGATAGAAAACATCTGGAATGATGCTTTTAAAAAATCACCTTTTAAAAAAGACATAGTACCTAAACTTTAAAAATTACTTTTTCCATATGTATGAAGGGTTGCCAACTGCAAAAAACACTTATGTGTCTCTATCATCCTCCTCCAAATGTAACAGTCATTAAGTACAATTTCTGTATCGCGTAAGCAGATCTTACCTTAATAGTTCGTTCTTTTGCTTTATTAGCTGTTCATTTTGCTGCTTTAACTTAGAAACTTCCTTTTCTAGCCGTATATATTCACTTTTCAGAATAAGAGCTTTTGTGCTTTGTACAATGCCACTGCCACCCCCACAGGTTAAGGGTTTATTTGAAGGCTGAGAATCAGTATGTTCTGATACTACTATGGGAGGCAAAAACACAGATAGGTGATAATTTTAGTATTTCCAAAGTTTAAAATCAAGAAAACATTACAAAGGCAATGAGTCACTATAAAACCCCAAATATCTCGACCGCCATCTCCCTGAAAGTCATCCTTGACTTCCTCCTTCTCTCACCTGCCTATTTGATCATTAATTCTAGACAGCGCGAGAATCCTCCTGCCTCTCTCCACCTACCAGTCCCACTACCGTAACTCTACAGGGACCGTTCACCACGACCGCAGCACTGAGAGCCCTCCTCAGATAGAGCTGTCCTTCACTGATCTTCTTCCCCATCGGTGAGCTCACCTGGAGGGCTTCTTCCTACAGTGTGTGGGGTGCTCGCCGTCACTCAGTGCACCACAGGAACTCAACACATGCTTGTTCACTAAATAAACCTTGGCATGTATTACAGTATATATTATTAAGTATTCTGCTCTATGTGTATAAAAGTAATGTGAGGAACTGTTTTGTAAATTTTAGGTAAAATTGCATAAAAATGTGAGTTTCTTATAAAGTAGAATAAGTTACTGACAATTTATAAAAAGAGGGTAATGTGTGTGTGGGTAAGATAGTCAATGACCATTTCCTTTTGAATTATATTGAACTCAGGGACAACATGTACCTAAAAATCATTTACAAATTAAGACTAAGTCTCCTGGCTCTTCTGTAACAACTAGGAGTTCTCAGCCCTCTTTTTATCCCGTGGAGGTTTCCAGGTAGGAACTGTGATCATCCTTAATACTATCTCTGTTTTTTTTTTTAAGTGGACAATAATACACACAAATATCACCTTATGTTTGCTTGATCTTTAGAATTTTCACTGTGCTCACACACATAACTCTTAGTGTGATCCTTAAAACAATCATATATGTGAGCTAGATCAGTGTTGCCCCCAGGATTTCACACAGCCATCAAGTGAGGGCAATCAGAGACCTGTCCCTGGCTGCTAGTTCAATGATTGCCCCACTACACAAAGCTGCCCCAAGTGCTGGTCAGCATTTTCTCTTCTCAAATGTAATACAAGAGACAGAAATATGGAAAAAGGTATAGTTTGAGGGATGGATATGCAGAAATCTGATCCTTAGACTAGAAGATTGTACCTAAGATAAATTTCCAAGAGTTTGCAAGTATGCATCAACTTTGTATTTTCAGTATTAAGAACAAGTAGGATATTACTTATTTTTACTGTGAACTGATAATATTTTTACTGTGTATATGGTTACAGTCTATTAGGACATGTGCTTGTAGTTTTAGTGGGAAGTGTACTTCTACCCTGAGCTTTAAGCCATTCTGTTACAGTACTGAAGGTATCGTCACTGTATGTACGATCTGCTAATGCAAAAGTAAATTCATATTTTCTAAGAATCTATAATGGGTGAACAGTTAAGATTAAACTAAGGACATGTCACAGGATAAGTATGAGCCCAATGAATTCATTTTAAAAATAGTTTTTTCTAAATTAGTGATTAACTTAGATTTATTCTTGACTGTCACATCTGTAATAGTAGCCTTCAAAACGTACAGGTGTATGGAAGTGAAAGGGAGGGACTGGGAACCAGCATTTTCTACTCACTTGAGGTATCCTGGGCCTGTTGATTTCTTCTCAGGTTTTCTCTCAATAGCCTTATAACTTCTTTTTGATATTCTGCAGTGGCTTTTGTAGAAGCAATTCTATTAAGAACAACAACAGAAATACGTAAAAGCCCAGGAACTAATTTTTAATGAAGGAATAAACACAACTGCTGTCAAGAATTTTCTAGTAAGATACATCACATCAACATCATACCCACGGGCATCCACAGGTGGCAGCAGAAAAGCCCTGATGCCCTCCTCCAGCTGGTATCATGCACCTCACGGCTACAATACCATCAAGGTGGAAGTAGTCTGTTTGGCTGCTGGGGCAATTTTTTGACGTTGAGAAACGAATCCTTTCAAAATTTCTGGAAGCCCAATAGCTATTAATGGGACACCGAGCAAAATTATATTTGGGGGCACCGTAAAACAAATACTTGGTCTGCTACCATGAGGTCCTAGAAACACCCTGAAGGTACAATTACCAGAGCATGGAAGCAAAAAGCAGCTTCCTTTCTACATTGTCAGGAAAGCAAACCCTAGCTGCAGCTCTGGTCGAAGGCGATACAGTGAAAGGTCAATGCTGCTCATTGTTCCCTGGTAGAAAGAGATATTCTATGAATTGTTTGCTTAAGCATTAATCAGCAGTGATAAATTAAGAGACACTCTGACTTTCTTAGAGACTGACAGTATCTGCTGATTCTTTTCTATAAGTAAAATTGCTTTTTATAATGAAGATCTTATCACCGGAAGGCTGGTTAGAATGAATGAAGATTCAGAGTGCTACATTTTAGGTAAAATTAGATATCATCATTAAATATTTATTAAAGATTTATAAGAGGAATAAAAAGCATTAGGAGCCAGAAGGCATCTTAAGAAATCCCCTAATACAAATCTATCCTTTTTTGTTTATGAATGTGAGGCCCAGAGAGATCAAAGAGCTTGTGTAAGGTGAAATACTAATTAGTGGCAACATTATATTTCTAATTTAGTTTCCCTGACTTTCTGTCTAATGTTCTTTCTATTATGCTATACCACAAAGAATTTTAGGCATGCTGTTATGTATAGTAAATAAATCAATAAAAGAGGATCTGCTCTTGGGCACTAGGGATTATAATTTAAAAGGAAATACAACTTTTACACAAAAACACAACAGGAAGAACAAATAAAATTAAGAGAACCAATAGAAACCTTAGTCGAACTGCTAACAAAACATACACACGTTCTTAACACTCACTTTCAAGCATAAAAAGGCCATTTTAAAGTTATTTATATATGCTTGAGCGAGAAGCTTCCAAAGACATAGTGTTAGTAATTAATCAGAATCATGCTTATTTTAAAACTTCTGCATATGTAATGGAAATTTAATAAATTTATGTGAATGTCTGTATTTATTTTTTAAAAAGCAATATTTTCATATATTTTAAAAAGTTAACTAATGCAAAGAAATTTATATTGTTTCTAAAGGAAATTTAAGCTATTAAAGTCATGTTCGGTTAAGGCAAAGACGTACTCCTTTTCAAACTCCTTGGCAGTTTTCATCTTCTCTAGGTCTATTTTCACCAGCTTTGTTTTGAGATCTTCAATTTCTTCTTTATAGGGCTTAGCTCCTAAAGCAACTTTGTCCTAAATTTTTTAAAGAAAAGAAAAATAAAATAATTTTAAAGCAATTTCAAAGAGCTTTTAACTGCCCTGAGATCTAGTAGAATATTTTAAAACAGCAATCTCCAAATATATGAAAAGCACAAATTTTAACCCTAAAATGAATAGATATTTTGATGTGAAATATATCTGAAGCTATTAGAAACTAATATGTACTTAGAGAACATATGATTTTTCTCATAAAGAACATATGATTCTTAAAACAAATTTTGTTCCCAATTTAAAACCAATCTACCTGAACACATGAAACAAAGGTTGAAAATAATGAAATGGGTAGACAAAGGTCAATCCGAAAAATAAAAACATGTCAGAACAGCAATATAAATATCAACGTAGAACTGAATTTAAGGCACAAAGTATTATGTAGCAGTGTTGAGGATATTTGTGGTCAAAGATACAATCCAGTGATATAAATATATCTACTTTCCATTCAGAGAAAAAATATCCATATCCACATACATATATAAATCTTTTTTTAGTGAATAGATTTCATTTTTAGAGTAATCTCAGGCTTACAGAAAAACTGAGCAGAGTGTACACAGAGTTCCCAAATACTGTTACGTCCCCCAACTCCAACATTCCCTGTTATTGAAATCTTATATTTGTGTGGTATATTTGTTACAAATGATAAGCCAATGTTGATATATTATTAACTAAAGTTCATAGTTTAATAATAGGGCTTATTATTTGTATTATATATGTTAACTATGGGTTATTATTTGTGTTACATAGTTAGGGCTTATTATTTGTATTATATAGTTAACTGTGGATTTTGACTAGTGTGTAATGACATGTATCACTACTGCATCACACAGAATAGTTTCACTGCCTTAAAAATTCCCTGTGCTCCACCTACCTATCCTTCCCTCCCTCCCCTTGAACTGTTGGCTATTATCGATCTTTTTATTGTTACCTTAATTTTGCCTTTTCCAGAATGTCATATGGTTGGAAGCATACATTATATAGCCTTTTCAGATTGGCTTCTTTTAATTAACAATATGCCTTTAAGATTTCCTCCAGATCTTTTTGTGGCTTGATAGCTCTTTTCTTCTTATCGCTGAATTAAGTGTTCTTTTTATTGCTGCACCACAGCCACACAATGGAATGCTACCAGATACTGAATACAAAAATAAACCCATCTAAATAGGGACCCTATTTCTCTAGGCTTTCCCACCCCAATCCTCATAAAAACATCTGCACACATACAAGGACCAGCAAAGACTAAAAAGATGCAAAGCTTCTAAAAACGGCAGATGCTTAAGGAGGTTGATGAACCCATTGTTTGCTCAGTCACAGCACCAGTTCAATACCTAGGCCTTCTGGACCAGGCACTCATATCAGGGACTCCTTGAGCATGTGACTGGCTCAAGTGGTGTCAGTTTTGCAAGGAATTGCCAAACTGTCTTCCAAAGTAGCTGTACTATTTGCATTCCCACCATGATAAATGAGCATTCCTGCTGCTCCACAACCTTACCAGCATTAAGTGGTGTCAGTGTTTTGAATTTTGGCCGTTATGGTATTTTGATATACCATAGGTGTGTAGTGCTATTCTCGTGGTTTTGATTTTCAATTCTCTAATGACATGATGTTGAGTATCTTTTCATATGCTTATTTGTTGTATGTTTACCTTCTTTGGTAAGGTATCTATTCAGATTCATTACCTATTTTTGATCAGGTTGTTTGTTTTCTTATTTTATTGAGTTTTAAGAATTCTTTGTATATTTTGGATAGCAGTTCTTTATCAGATATGTTTTGCAAAAAATTTTCTCCCAGTCTGTTGCTTATCTTTCACAGAGTGAATGTTTTTAATTTAAATGAAGTCCAACTTATCAATTTTTTTCTTTCATGAATTTTTTTCCCTTTTTCTCTCTCGGTGTCGTGTCTAAAAAAGTCACCATTAAACCCAAGGTCAGCTAGCTTTTCTCCTGTGTAATCTTCTAAGAGTTTCCTAGTTTTGTGTTTTACAGTTAGACATTTACAGTTGAGTTAATTTTTTGAAAGCTGTAAGGTCTGTGTCAAACCTTGTTTTTTTGCTTGTGGATATAAAACTGGTCCAGCACTTTTAGTTGATAAGATTTTCCTTTACTGTTGAACCATTGAATTACCTTTGCTCTTTTGTCAAAGATCAGTTGACTATATTTGTGTGGTTCTATTCCTGAGCTCTCTATTCTTTTCCATTGACCTATTTGTCTATTTACTGTTTTAAAAGTTCAAAGAACTCTAAAAACAATTATCCATTTATGATAACAAAAATAAAATTTTAATGTATACTAAACATGCAGAAATTATAGTAGCTTTTTACCACAATATAATAAAATAAATTAGTCATATATAACATTGTTTAAAGTAATTTTTAAGTAAAAAAAAAAAAACAAAATTGGAAATACTGTCTCAGAAAGACAGTAAGAACTCCATATTTCAAACATATGGCATGTGACCAAAGCTGTACGCAAAAAATACCAATAACCTTAATTTCTCTAATATATGGAAAA